GTGACATCAAAGCGCTCTGAGGAAAAAAAAAAAAAACCGAGAACCCGACGACTAGTGGACCAGACCGGGTGCTGGTTGGGGCTGCCCCTACTTCCCGGAATAGCCCCACCCTTCCCACCGCCCGCATCCAGTCCTCACACAGTTCTACCCTGACCCCGCAGTCCCCGCCCGGGCGGACTTTCCAGCAGCCGGGGCTCCTTTCTCGCCTCTTCCCTGAGAAGGGAGTGAGCGAAGAAATCTCCTCTTGAAGGACTAAACCCAGACTCCGACGAACTCGCGGCGCTGGCCCGTACTCCCCCACCCCCACCCCCTGCGCAGCTCCCGCCATCTGGGTGTCACCGGGCGCCCAGTTGGCCGAGGGCTGCCCTGACCCGGTGGGAGGAGGTGGGACCGCAACACCGAAAGCGGACGCTGGGAGGGGGGATCCCAGAGAGGAGCGCCGGGCCCCGGGGGCACTGGGCAGAGACCCGCGGGGGCTGTGGGCGGGACCTCCGCTCAGAGGGGCGGCGGGAGGGAACGGCGCTAGTAGGATCGGCCCCGAGGTTCGTGGAAGAGGCGCCCGGGCACGGGGGGCGGGGGGGGACATCGGAACGAGGGAGGGATTAGGACTAGTTACACGTCTAGGAGGCAGAGGATAGGTGGGGCTGCAGAGTGGAATTTGATGGCACAAAACATTTTTTGGGGGAGCAGAGTGGTATTTGGAACAGGTAGGCACGTGGTAGGGGCACAACATGTGGGAGGGTGTGCAAGTTTAGAGGACCCGGAGGTGTTTGAGGGGAGAAGAAATTGGGATGGGGAGTTATTTGGGCCCACAGCGGCACGTGGCGCTCAGCTTATCGGACCCAGCAGTCCGGGTCGGGGTGCGGCGTAGGACGACAGGAAGCAAGCGATGGATGACTCCATTAGTCGGACAATGCTGAGCCCCTACCGATGCGCACTGGAAGTAATGTATTAAAAACACTTAAGTATGGCCCGGCGCCCATAGCTCAGCGGTTAGGGCCCCGGCCACATACACCGGGCCTGGCGGGTTCGAACCCAGTCTGGGCCTGCCAAACGACAACTATAACAAAAAAATAGCCGGGCGTTGTGGCGGGCGCCTGTAGTCCCAGCTACTTGGGAGGCTGAGGCAAGAGAATCACTTAAGCCCAAAAGTTAGAGATTGCTGTGAGCTGGGACGCCACAGCACTCTACCGACGGTGAAATAGTAAGACTCTGTCACCAAAAAAAAAAAAAAAAACAGAACAAAAAAAAACTTAGGTGCAGCGAGCGCCCCGCTTTCCCCGCGCCGCTTTGTGCGGAGCCCGAGAGGCGGGGACGCCCCTGGTCCAGGCCGGCAGAGAAAGCACGCGTCTCTGGGTGGGCGGCCCCAAACTTCACCTCCCGGCGTTGCCCAGCAACAGCCATTCAGTTCGGTTGCTGGGACACGCGTCACCATGGCGACCGCTCCGCGCCTCTCAGTCTAAGTATTTAAAGAGCAAGCGCGGGCAGCGTCCGGGCGTGGGGACGCGGCCTGCAGGACTTGGCGGGCTCCCCTCCTCCCTTCCCCCGCCGGTCTCTTCACCTTTCGGGCGCAGAGGCCTTCTGGCTTCCACAATAAGCCCAACTCCTCACCGCTCCCCGCGTTCCTGAGCCGGCCGGCTTCAGGTGGTGGGCAGTGGGATCCCGGGCCCCGGGCGGGCGGGAGGGACGGGATGCGGTGCAGTGTTGTTCTTTCCCCCGCCAATATTGCACTCGTCCCGGCCTCCGGCCCCCCCGGCCCCCCGGCCTCCCCCTCACGCGGCAAGCCTCGCTCTCCTGCCTCTCAATTCTGCCTGATCTCAGACTGGAGTGTCGCCGCCACCGCCGTAAGTAGGGCTGGGAGGACCTCTGCCATCCTCCGTTCAGCACTCTATCCTTACTCCCATCCGGCACCTTTCCCGCCCTCCTCGGCGAAACTTCCCCTGGATCTCCGCCTGCCAACCTACCGGTCTTTCTCCCTCAACTCCTCTTCCTGTTCCCCACCCTATCCCGAAGAATCCCTAAAATAAGCAATTGCACCGGCTTAGAAAACAACTGTAACTTTATGGCAATGTGCTGTTATCTTTCTGTGGTTAGTGCCTGAGTAAACCCCTTGAAAACTTCTCATCCCTTGAACAGTGGGGTGACCACCCCACTGGGGCCGAACTCCTGATGGGTGCCAGAGAAAAAGGTCTGTGCTTGGCTGAGGGGCTGTAGCTGAGACCCAGGGTCTCCAGGATCGACCCCAAGGCCAAAGGGTCTAAAACAGGATTCTGAATCCGGTGGCCACCTCCTCACACCCTTCCCTGGAGCAGTTGCCTCCTGAATGGCTCAAAGTCCTCAGGCACTGTGTCTGAAGGAGGGGATAAGTAAGGTCAGAGGCTGTGGCTCTACTGCCAAAGCCTGAGAGGTCAGGTTGGTCTCACTCTGCAGCCTCACCATTGCACCGGTATTGGAGATTGGACCAAATGATGTTTTCTTGGGAGAAGCAGAATACACCAAGGCGCCCCCCTCGCATGGACGTGTCAATGATCACCCCAGAATCTGCCACTAGCTGGGGTCCCTCATAGAGTTTCACCCTGTCCAGGATAAGAATGTCCATTGGTGCTAGGGTGCCAGTGGGCACAGTGCCTTGCTCTTCCCCAGCCCCCAGAGGGAAAGGGAGGAAAGAAAGGGGAGGGAAGAGGGTGCTTTTCTCAGGCCTGGGGCCCCTAGCTCTTTGTCCAGCTCCTTTTGCATCTCAAAGCACCAGCCACATTCCAAGCGAGGATTGGGTTGCCATGACGATGAGCACAATGGGCTGGGGGTGAAGTCACCCGCTTCCCAGGCTCTAGTCCACCCCCTTTTATCCCCTGTCCTGGCACCCCACAGCCCCAGGCACCTTAAAGGGGAACCAACCCAGGTTCCTGGGCTCTGGGCTCTTGGCCTTGGAAAGTCCAATCTCTAAGCAGACCCATTTCTCCTCCCTTCCTTGTCATCCCCACCAAATACCAGTACTTGGAGGGAAATGCAAAGTTGTGGACAGAGTGCAGAAGAGAAAGGCCTTTGCGGTCTGGGCCTTGGTTTGCTCTTCCATAAATAATGATCTCTTCCAGACACTTTGATAGGGCAGATTCTAGGCTGCGGTAATTAAGGGACCAACGTGTGCACCCCCCCACAGGATGGCCTGTGGTTTGGAGGCTCCCTGGAAACTGGGCCAATGCCTTTGCTTTGCAGAGGGGAAAGGGGGCAGGAAAGGCCAGTGACTAGAGCAACATGGCCTATAGGTTCTTGTGTCTGTGGTGAGAAGGGAGATGGAGAGAAGTGGCAACAGTCCCTACCCATGGCACCAGGGATTTGAGTAGAAAGGAAGTCTCTGGTGAGTCCCAGCTAAAGGGGAAGAAAAGACCCAGCCTGGGTTCCTCAGGTGGGCCCAGCCCCTCTTCTTACCGAATATAGCCAACTTGAGGCCGATGCAGCAGCTGCCAGCGATAGGAGGTCTTGTCACGCCAGCCAACGTTTCTAGGGTCAGTCCATAGTAACCGTACCTGATCAGGGGTGTGGCCAGTATGCCACAGAGCATTCCGTAGGTGTTCACCTGGGCCAGACACTGATGTCACTGCCTGGGGAGCATAGGCAAAGAAAATGGCTCAACCACAGGATGAGAGTGAGGGGAGACAACAGGTCAGTAAATGCAGGTGGGAAAGGGAGTCATGGGGGTCAGGAGAATGCTCTGGTGCCTGGGAAAGCTGGCATCCATGTCAGAAGTGTGGGTAAGAGGGTGCTCAGTTAGGCAATGAGGTTGAGGGGAGCCCTGGGGCTTGGGGAACAGAGCTTTGAGAAAGGGCCTTGAGTTGGGGAATCTGGGCAGAGGGGGAGGGGGACCTTGAGCTGCAGCCCAGGCTGGGCAACAGCCCGGAAAGGTGTGGCCTGCCAGTAGGTCTGCTCCGTCTGCTTCCACATGACCACGTAGAAGCGGCCACTGTCCTGGTAACTGAAGAGAAAGCCTGCATAGTCATCGTCAGTAACGGTGTTCACGTGGAAGGTGCCTTCAAAGTCCACACCATTGAAGGCCGTGTATCCTGGGGTAAGGGTCGGTGAAGATCAGAGGCAGCAAAGCTACTGTAGCCCATTGTGGGTCCTGTTACATGTGTGTCCACCTTGGCCCACTGCCCTCTCTCTCTCATCCCTTTGCCCATCCTCCCTATCCTGTTCCTTTCCCACCCTCTGCTCCTGTAGGATTCTTCTGTTTGGAAATTATTGAAATTACTGAACTAGGTGTCCTTTACATACCAACTGCCAGGCCAGGGTCACTGTTCATGGTCTGAACGATTTCCATGCCCTGGGGTTATATGGTAAAGAAAAAAGCCATGATCCAGGAGCATTACCTAGGTAAGAGCCCACCTGGTAGTGTGGCCTAATAGCACCTGCCCAGCCCACTGCCCTGACCGAGTACCTGGTTGAGGACAACCCAGTTTGGGTCAATCTGGGCATCACCCTCTGGATCCAGGACGACAGTCTGATAGGCCCGAAAATCCGTGAGG